TGGACTCTTTTGCTGGGAACTTCTTCGTCATCTATTTGAAAACTGTTTATTTGATTTTGTTGACATTCAAGCGTCGTGAGGAATTAGTGATAGGAGGTCTGTCACCTGGTGACAGTGGTCATCATTTTATATAAGTTTATATCAAAGTTAGAACGCTTGGCATGTCATCACAGAACCAGACACGAAATAGATCTCAAAGGCAGACTGAGCCAGCAGATGGTTGAGGATAGACATGCACCAATCTGGCTTCATTATCATTTGATGTCAACGAACAATGTTTGACAGAAGAACAGGAATCGCCTCAGCGGACCTCCATCATGGCCGAGATCTGGACACATTACGAGGACGGGATGTGGCACAATATTGCACAGGCCACCTTGAATTGGAATATTTCTCGTTAGCTCACTCAATTCTAGAGGTTACGACCACTTACTATCTCTTCAAAGATGTATAAAAGACACACATGTGAATAGCATCTCTTAATATGAACTGGAATACAGTTGAGCCAATACATAAATAACACTGCACCATGCAGCTTTTTCTTCTACGACTACTTATTTTAATACACAAGAGGCTACTGAGGACACGTCATAGTGATTAGAGAAAAGTCAGAATCTAGACGGAGAGAAACATTAACCCCTTGATAAATTTAGTAATTTTCATATATCTGATAACTTTTAGAAAAAAGCCAATTCATTGTATATATTCTGTACCGTGTCATTTTTCAAATTAATTAATACGTGTTATAAACAACATAGGATTGTAAAGATGATTTATGCTAATTGGTAACGAAATAAAATAATGGCAACAACAGAGAATGCTGGACTCGCTATCGAAAAAAAAGAACCAGGAACAGAAGAAATAAAAAAAATAAATTAATAAAAAACAAAAAGATATGAAAAAAACAAACATCAGGAACCGATGTTACCTCAAAACCAAAAAGAAGGCTACAATACACCCCAAGGGATCGCCCAAAACAGGGATAGAAATACCAAGTCTTACGGGACACAAAAAAGGAAAAACAATATTATGACAGATGGGTGACAAACGGAAAGACAATATCTTGACTCATAGGACACAAAGGACTGACAATATCATGACTGATGGGACACAAAGGACAGACAACAGCATGACTCATGGGACACAAAGGACAGACAACAGCATGAATGATGGGACACAAAGGACAGACAATATCATGACTGATGGGACACAAAGGAGAGACAACAGCATGACTGATGGGACACAAAGGACAGACAACAGCATGACTGATTGGACACAAAGGAGAGACAATAGCATGACTCATGGGACACAAAGGACAGACAACAGCATGACTGATGGGACACAAAGGACAGACAACAGCATGACTCATGGGACACAAAGGACAGACAACAGCATGACTCATGGGACACAAAGGACAGACAACAGCATGACTGATGGGACACAAAGGACAGACAACAGCATGACTGATGGGACACAAAGGACAGACAACAGCATGACTGATTGGACACAAAGGACAGACAATAGCATGACTGATGGGACACAAAGGACAGACAACAGCATGACTGATGGGACACAAAGGACAGACAATAGCATGACTGTTTTATAAAAAAAAATAAAATCAAACTGGAGTATTGAAAGCTGGAATCTGTTGGTATGTCGAATTTTCTTTGTTGTTTGGTATATCATATACTAGGGTCACACAAGTAGGGGACGCTATTTTATATCTGTGAACAGATACATAATTATCGCGTTGACAGTGCGCGACACACCTCTTACGCCCGAGATGACATTCTATTATATCTTAAGACTTCCTTCAGTCATCATAGAAATGTATTTAATTTGCCAAGTTATGAGACCAGCTATATGGGAGATTTTGATTCATCATGAGTGTCTACCTGATTCCATATCTATAGTGCAAGGTGCCCTTGCCTTGTGTATGTTTTGTATTATCCTTATGTTCATTAGAAAACAACTGATTATGCATTCCATTTCTTCACGGTCCTTTTTTATATTTTACGTATGTATTTAATTAATGTAATGACGAATTAAGACTATCGTTATTGTTAATTGACAATGACAACTCAGCATGACAGAATGAAAGTTTAATATAAGGGATCTAAAACTAATGCTGATTTACAACATGATGTTAATTATAGGTGCTCTGCCATGATCCAGATAATAAATATACTGACTTCAACAAAAAGGAGATTGTTGATATTGTTACACGTTGTCCAATCAATTGTCGACAGATTAATCTTTATTGAATAAAAAATACTTGTTTTCAAAGTAGAGAGAAAAAAAAAACAATAACTGAGAAACAGACGCCAACATGTCGAACTTCCCTGTCACGTTTACAATACCTTTGGAACACACCAATCACAATCTGTTATCAGCAAATGTAGTACAAGATAAAGCAATGTTACCTAGCTGGAGCAAGCATTTCTCTCCTTCCATGTTTTTTTCAGATGTTGTTGATCACTAACCTCCAGATTGATGTCAGTTTACCGTAAGTTCACTTCGTCAGTCTAAAATGTTTCGATGTCACCTGAACATGTTTATTTTTTTTTGTAAGCAATTTTATGTACCTTAATCAAATATATCATCTATCAAAAAGGGCGTATATGGTTTAACTTCACATTGTCCTGTTTTTGTCTAAAGTAATATATTCAAGGTAAGGTTTGTGATCTCTCACTGTTAATAATAAAACAACAAATTAATCACACAAATGATGATGAAGTGATATAGTTTAAGTAGTTACTTAATCAACACAGCCTATCTGTATGCCCGAGGGATATCACCCTCTACGTACCAAGGAAGTTTTAACAAATAATGGTAAAAGTATTTAAAATTATTTAGAATTACTTTGGTACAACAGTACGTTACACTATACCAAAAAAATATTGTCCTTCGAGACGTTTCCGCATAATTATTTTTCTGGGGCAATCGTTCAATAATTATAGCGACGAAGCTATGGTCTCACTATCCTGTCGGTTAATTTAATGTAGAAAAATGGATTTAATTGATTACTTGTAATAAGAAACATTTTATCAAGGAACACATGGTTTACTTATGTACGTACTTACTAGTAATAAGTCAGCTAGATATGGGTAGGTTGACACTGTTTATAAATCAATTTGCAATTACTTTTCGTCCAGGATGTCGCCAACTGACAAATAAACTCACAAACACAAGGTTTCGAGGATGCAGCTTTATGAAGATTACGGGGAAATTTGATCTCACTGAGAAACTCATCAATTTCTTCGTCAAGTTTGTCGTGTTAGAAGTTCATTAGTCTACCTGGTGATTCCGTTGTTATTCACCTTGTTCTCATTTGGGAAAGTGGCATTACTTACTTGAATTGACCAAGACTTATATGGTGGGTGTTGTCGATGAAACAGAAAACTCTCACCCTTCCGGAACACCTGGTCTTATTCTCCTTGTACTTTTTCATACGTAAATATATTCGTAAGTTGTCCTAGTTTATCGTATTTGATTTGGAATTAATATCGTGTTGACATGTCGGCATTTTCTTTGTTGATTTGGAACGGACGTTCCGAATTAATGCTGGTGATATTTATACATTAATATTTGTAAGTGGTATTTATACGTTTATATTTGTAAGTGGTATTTCAGATAAAGTAAACGTGCCAATTTTATAACACAGTTGTGTGTCTACTATCTCCATTAACGTTTTTACAGCTCTTTGTTTAAATTGAAATATAATAAAATACTCACGGAATTATCAAAACACGTCATAAACTAATGAATACGGCGATATAAAACACCATGAACATAACTGTATTAGTGGTAATCTTATTTAAGAGATTTTTGCGAGGAAAGTAATGCGCTAAAATTTTATAGCACTAATTGCTAATTCTTTATTTTGTGACATATTGTAACAAGTATTGTTAATATGCAAATTCATCGTTGTTCTAACATGCATGAATGGTAATGAGTTTAAGAGTGATTGCATCAAATTAATACGTTTACTATATAATTTATTTGTTTTTTTTTTCAATTTGTAATCCTGTGTGAAATGTATCCTATAGGAATATCCCTTAACGTGAATTTCTGATGAATATGCTGATTTTAATACTGTATTAGTATTACGTACAAATACCATGTTTGTATTAATACCAGAGTTATTTTAGAAATAGTCCATGTTAAATGCCGTTAAATGTAATGTGCATAGTGTGTTTTTTTATTTGACGATTGAATTTTTATGCGAAGTTATGAAGTAAAGAAATAAATATATTTTATCATTTTAATTCAATTTAAATATACATAGAAAAAGTTATAAAAATTATCACAGTGAAATGTACAAATTTACATCAATGAATTTTAATTGGATTTGTAGAAGTATTGCATCATTCCCGCCTCCTGGAACAAGTGTTAAGTCGCTCTCACTCTCTCCCAGTCAGTAATGCATCCAGAAGTTGTCCATTTACTAAACAAAATAGAAATATATAGTACACATTAGAAATATATACTGTTCATATCCTATACACATTAGAAATATATACTGTTCATATCCTATACACATTAGAAATATATACTGTTTATATCCTATACACATTAGAAATATATACTGTTCATATCCTATACACATTAGAAATATATACTGTTTAAATCCTATACACATTAGAAATATATACAGTTTATATCCTATACACATTAGAAATATATACTGTTTATATCCTATACACATAAGAAATATACACAGTTTATATCCTATACACATTAGAAATACACAGTTTATGTCCTATACACATAAGAAATACACAGTTTATATCCTATACACATTAGAAATACCCAGTTTTTATACTTAACAAAATAGAATTATATCTTGTCCATACATAACATTCTAAATCTTCTATTTACGGTGACAGATCAACCATTTGAAAAATGTCATTTCCCAAAATATAATGACCAAATCAAATGCACCCGATATAATTTTAATGAACCAGAATTTTGCTACCCTATGAATTATTAACGGCTGTTCAAAATCTATAAGAATGAATACTTACGCCTTCATAGGATCGAAGAGCATCGTACTTTGTAAGGTATCCTGAAATATATGGAATCAAAATATCAACTGTCTTCAATAGAGGGTTCGAGGGAATTATATCTTAAAGAACTGATTTTTGAATGCTACCTGTAGATGCCTGTTACTAAATGTAATACATAGTTGTTTCGTTCTAGTGTTACAAAAACAAGGTGTCAATCCGAAGGAAAGATTATAGAAATTTGAAAAAGAAGAAACATTTGTTAAATTATTTTGTGGTTAACTAGTTAAATGTATATATATGTATATTTGAGATCGTCAAGGACATGGGCTGCCATAAATTTGGTTAATTTTATACATATATATATTATTACGTATGATTAATCAAACGTACCTTCTCTCTTTTTCATCTTGTCCGTCATAATACTCTCAGTTTTTTCGCTAACTTTATTCACAGCTTTGTTGACGATATCAGCGCCAGCATCGCCATCTGTCAAATCAAACAATGTTTTTATTTTGGAAGGACGAACATCTTTCGGATCCACTTCCTTTGCCTGGACGTACAAGTCGGAATTCCGTACATTTGGATTATTCCACTTGGGGTCAAAAGCGTCAGCAGATTTAGCATATTCTCGCCTAGCAGCTTCGTTAATTTCTCCCCGTGTTAGCACTTGTCCCGGAATGACTGGTTCTGGTAGGTCAGGAAGAGGCGGCAGAGAAATATCAAACAGCGGAGATTCAGGAAGAGAAGGTTCCGGTTGAAATCCTAAGGGATTCAATAAGGGATCATTTAATCCTCCTGTTGATCCGAATTCTGTCAAAGGGTCGGTCGGACCTGTAATACGTAAATATATTGACATTACCTAGTATCAGACAAATGAATGTTTGACGAGAAATATCTACTGAAATCGTAACTGTTCTAAGATGCTGAAAACCTGGATATAAGTGTTATTATGTAGGTTAAAATTAAATGTGTGCTAAAGTTCGGTTAAAAAGGATAGTGTCGTACATCTTGCTTTGTTTTTACAACTAGAAAAGTAACGAAAGTGCGTACTCTGCACAACATAATTTTGACTCTGTTTTAGTTAAGACAATTTGCTTCCGAAACCTAGAAATAACTCGAATATATGTATAAAAATGTCGCTTTACCTTAACGAGTAAAACTTTCCCTTGATTCGTTATGTATTTACATGAATAAAAAATATATTTACCTGATAATGCGGGGATATCTGGGACTGGAAATGAGTCTACGCTTACTGGAGACATGTTGTCTGATGATAGCAATGAGAAGGGTCCACGAATACCGATGTTGTCTTGTGGCATATCAGAAGGACCAAACGTGCCTGAACCTTTTGTTGTCTTTTCATTTGAAGAAATTACCTTTGAAGTGGGTTTGCTTACATCCGTAACAGCTGGTTCAACATATTCTGCTTTCGTTGTAGCTACAGGTGAATCAAATATATTAAGTTGTTCACCGAAGATTGGCACTTGGGGTTCAGTAGCAGGAACGTAGTTTGGATCAAAACTTTTTGAAGACGTCAGGTGAGACGAAGGACCACTCATCAACCCTCCTGTAGGCATCAAAGGTTCGAGGAAAGCGTCTGGCGAGATGGACAGGGGGTCGGCAAAGTTCGGATCAAACGGTCCTCTTTGAGGATCACCTGTAGAACCTATGCTATTTATAAATGCATCGTTTGGTGGAATATAACCAGGCTTATTCGATGGTGAGACCGCTGACGTATCCAGAAGGTCTATCGGAGTGAGGGGAGCCAGTGGACCTAAAGGATTCAATGCATCGATCGTTAATGGACCAACAAAATCTGGAGAGTTTATGTTGACGCTCGGACCAACTGGATTAAGCGGTCCAATTGGTAGCGCTTCTATTGGACCAGCGTTACCCTTTACCGATGGTTCAACATAATTAGGGTCTTTGATTGGTAAATTTGGAATTGCAGGTACCTGTATTGATGAAAAATCTAAGGGACCTGGTGCATCTGTGAGTTTTGGTTCGATGTAACTAGAATCTTTTACAGGGAGTGTTGGAGGATCTAAAGGTCCGGTGAATAAATTATCAGCAACGTAATTTGGATCCTTCACATTAGTTGGAACTTTTGGATTATTTGGCCAAACTGGAAACTCTGAAGGATTGACTGGATCATTAGCGCTCAACGGTAATGTGGGTAGATCGAGAAGATCTGAAGATCCGGTGAACAACGAATCTGGAACATTATTTGGATCCTTGATATTAGTTGGTAACAATGGAATATTGGATGGGCTTAATGGATCGAATGATACTGCTGGATCGACATAATTAGGGTCATTGACGTCTAATGGCAAAATTGATGTATCAAGAGGACCTGTGGATAAACCAGACAATGGATCAAGGATAGGACCTGTAGCAGGAAGGGGTGGAATGTTCAGTGGATCAAGGGGGCCAAAGGGAATTTTTGGCGCGTCAGTATTCTTCGGTACCATATTCGGCTTCGTTGGAAGAAGAATAGGATCATTTGGCGCAACATATCCAGGTTCGTTTGGAAGAAGAACAGGGCCCTTTGGCGCAACATATCCAGGTTCGTTTGGAAGAAGAATAGGGTCCTTTGGCGCAACATATCCAGGTTCGTTTGGAAGAAGAATAGGGTCCTTTGGCGCAACATATCCAGGTTCGTTTGGAAGAAGAACAGGGCCCGTTGGCGCAACATATCCAGGTTCGTTTGGAAGAAGAACAGGGCCCTTTGGTGCAACATATCCAGGTTCGTTTGGAAGAAGAACAGGGTCCTTTGGCGCAACATATCCAGGTTCGTTTGGAAGAAGAACAGGGTCTTTTGGCGCAACATATCCAGGTTCGTTTGGAAGAAGAACAGGGCCCTTTGGCGAAACATATCCAGGTTCGTTTGGAAGAAGAACAGGGTCCTTTGGCGCAACATGTCCAGGTTCAATCGGAAGAACAGGGTTCTTTGGCGCAACATAATCTGGCTCTGTTGGCAGAAGAATTGGGTCCTTCGGAGCTACATAATCTGGTTTAGTCGGTAGGAGAACAGGACCTTTTGGCGCAATATATTCAGGTTCGGTTGGAAGAAGAACGAGTTCCTTAGGCGCTACATAATCTGGTTTAGTTGGTAGAAGAACGGGCTCCTTCGGCGCTACATAATCTGGTTTATTTGGTAGAAGAACTGGATCCTTCGACTCTACATAGTCTGGTTTAGTTGGCAGAAGAACTGGATCCTTCGGCGCTACATAATCTGGTTTAGTTGGTAGAAGAACTGGATCCTTCGGCGCTACATAATCTGGTTTAGTTGGCAGAAGAACTGGATCCTTCGGCGCTACATAATCTGGTTTAGTTGGCAGAAGAACTGGATCCTTCGGCTCTACATAATCTGGTTTAGTTGGTAGAAGAACTGGATCCTTAGACGCTACATAATTTTCCTCTGTTGGTAGAGGCAGAACTGGGCTCTTCGGCTCTACATAATCTGGTTTTACCGAGAGAGGTGCTACAGGATCTTTTGCTGAAATACGAGTAGGGCCCAATGGCGGTGGTAAAGGAATAGGTTCGACAAGGAGAGAAGGCTTCTTAGGTGAGACATAACTTCTGTCATTTACTGGATTTGTCCTCTCTATATAATCATTCAAATTAGACGGAAGAAAATTACCAGATCCCAGTACAGTTGTTGGTAATCTGGGTGTCCAGTTTGAGTCTATTCCACGTGCTGTAGGTGAGTAACTAGGCGTTCGTCTCGGAAGTATTTCTCTTAAATTCGGTGTGAATCGTGGCCTTTTGATAGCTGGCATGTAGGTTCTCCTATCCCGTACATCGGCAGTTCGTCCGCCAATTCTACGAAGAGAGGACCTCAGCGATAGAAGATAATCGCGACGACGGGGTCGAAGCGATTCCTTATTCGTTATTTCTACATTTGGTCGAAATCGACGTCTTCTCCTTGAAAATATGTCAAAAGAAGTAGCCTCTAATCCGCGAAAGCTGTCTGGTAGACGAGAAGTTCCAGACGGAAGAAAACCACCATTAATCTGTTCTTGCTCGGAGAGATTTTCAATTTGTTGTCGTCTTCGTAATAAAGCTGTAAAATCATGAAAGGAAGTGATGTTAACAAGTTAACTGTCAATGAAAATAATGTCGTAGGCCTAGTAGCGAAAACAAGAACACTGAAATTGCTTGTTTTTTTTTAACACAATGAGATTGGGGAATAGCAAACTTGACACCCTTGTGTTCAAGTAAGAAGTAATTTTATTGTCATCTACACACCTTTTTTTGTTTTGTGTATTTTTTGTTCTTTTTTCTGAATGTGCATGCAGATGATTTCGGAAAATATTTATCTTATTTAAATCATGTTCTTGTTGCGATTTTGAAAGATCATTGCTAAACCATACAAAACGAAAGCTTACTTAGATACAACTTCTTTGGTTTTAGGAGAATGTTTGATGTTACTTGATTGTTTCTAACAATATATAACTACTTACTGGTTGCATGAAATATAACAGCAAAAATGTGCCAAGGGTAATGTTTTTCACGTTAAAACACTTTTCAGTTTACAAATGTGTTTCTTTTTCCCAGTACTAATAGAGAATCCATTAAAAACGTTTAGGGGTTTTCACGTTTCCTATTTACGTATACACATTGATTAGGTAAAACATTAGGTAGACATGATTTACCGAAATTTGTTCTCAAATTATCATGAAGGAGTCACTAACAGACACCCATCTGCTTCATGCCTACGTCCTTTTTATGTTTAATTCAAACATTGATTTAAGGAATTGGTTTTTAAGTACTTAACAGATATAATACAGATCCGCATTAAGATACATGTATTCTGTGTTGTATTATATGAAGTTACCAAGTACATTGTTTATATATACGAGAATGTACCAGGTAGGAAGGCGAGAGTGACAGTCTTGATTTCCACGGTCACTTTATGTCAGATATGTGAATGTTTTATGTACATGTCTATATACATAAAAGTGTTTCAGACAGATTTCAATGCATATTGTAAGTCTACATCTACTTTAACATTGTTCGTACTTTTTGTTGATGTTTTGTTGTGTCTGGATTCAGAATTTATAAGTGGTCAACATGCAGATGATAGTAAAACCATTCCTAAACGTTGTCAATCAATCAAAGCCTATAATTATTTTTATGTAATATACTACATGTTTGATTAAGATAACTAAATATATTCATAATTACCTATTCGTTTTCTTTCACTCCCTGCTTGGGCCAATGCAGTTCCTATTATTAGCGAAATAATTAATAATTTCCTCATGTTTTTCTGTAAAAGAAAAAATAGTAATCATAAATATCCAGCATGCAAAGAAAGCATGCCCCTCAACAGTAATCCACACTCGAGGAATTAATGAATAAATACAATATCTTAATTAGTACGTGTATATAGATAGACCTTGTTCCTTATCTTACCTGTTCAGTTTCTCGTATTGTTCTGCTGAAGAAACGTGGCTATATCTCGTATATATACGGCAGTACAGGGAAGTCTATTTTCAGCATTCGCATTTGACGTAATGCAACCACACGTAGTCAAGTATGCAAAGAAAAAAAAACATACGTATACCACATTGCTATGCGAGATGACGTCATATGATAAATAGACAATACTTGATCTCTGTGTGGACGTCTAATGTTACGCTTGGCTGCACAGACCATTGGTTTAGTGAGTTACCTGGGAAAGAATCACCTGTCAAATCAACATTTTGACCTGCGTCACATCTGATGGGGTTGGTTTTGATATAAACCTACATTAATTAATTCATAAGCTTACACAACGTCTGTATATATTATATCTATTTATTTGTTTTCAAACTTTACTGGTTTGATTTTTCAGCGTTTTGACATTTGTATTTTTTCCACGTCATTAGAGAGAGTGATTTTCAAGATTTGTTTTTACTCCGCGGTGTCGTTGTGATTATCAGTTTAATTGTAACGTTATATGTATGTATACCACAGCCGTTCCTTTATCATTATTATTCGAAAAAAAGGATCGGCGAAGACGATGAGTTCGGGAGACTTGATGACAAACTTCTAATTATAATGAAATTATCTTAATAGACTTCATGTCATTATGTTCATCGTTTTTGTAAGGTACGCAATTTGCAAAATATGGTTAAATTTATACCATACAATATATAAATGCTGATTTAATTACTTTTAACATGATAATTGATGTAATAATTATTTTATTGGTTTTTATTATTTCTTTATGAAAGACAAACATTTTTTATGTAGAGTGTATCCAACAACACTTTGAAAAATGAAGGTTTTCTTACTTATTTTTCAGGACAAATACAAGATTTGAAGTACAATTTGTAAGAAGATCATGACATCGATACTCTTGCTATATGGAGGATAAGTAATGTTTGAAAGAGGGTCTACAATTATTTTAGATGGAACGCTGTCAAAGACACTTTTATTTAAGGTATAAATTTTAGTCTTTTAAAATTGAGTTGATACCCAATGAGTTTCATCCTTAGTGAAAAGGAGTTCTTTATGTCTTTAACCCATCTTACAATAAAGGTGGCTCTTTTGTCTTTAACCCATCTTACAATTACGAAGTTTTTTTGTCTATAACTCATGCAACAATAAAGAGGTTCTTTTTATCTAAAACCGGTCATAGAATAAAGGATTTTTTTTCGACTTTAATTCATTTTACTATAAAGGAGATCTAACAACTTATCTTACAATAAAGGAGGTTGTTTTTTCCATTTAACTCCATTTAAGGGATAAGCTACTAGACGGTGTTGTGCAAAATTATATTCAATTTTCGAACGCTCCTGAAAAGGTACAATGCAGTTTTCTTCTAGGAGATAGAAGTAATATATATGTGACGGATTCTGAATGAGAAGCACTTGTGTTAAATATGGCTTCAAATATTCCATGCATGATGTTCGAAATGAATGAACTCTTATAAAGGATTATGTCATCACGACTATGTTACCACACATGTGGTATTGTGTGATATGCTGTAATATCTATAGTCATGTCATTGTCCATATTATTATTATTATTTCTATACGACTGTCCTGAATATGTTATGTCCATACAACTTTTTCATAATATTGTGTTGAAAATGCTAAGACTAATCTCCGTAAGGAGGAAATAAAGAATGTCTGTCTGTCTGTCTGTCATCATACAATAAAGGAGGTTGTTTTTTCCATTGAACTCATCTTATAATAAAGGAGGTTGTTTTTTCCATTTAACTTATCTTACAATAAAGGAGGTTGTTTTTTCATTTAACTCATCTCACAATAAAGGAGGTTGTTTTCGTCTTTAACTTATCTTACAATAAAGGAGGTTGTTTTTTCCATTTAACTCGTCTTACAATAAAGGAGGTTGTTTTTTTCCATTTAACTTATCTTACAATAAAGGAGGTTGTTTTTTCCATTTAACTTATCTTACAATAAAGGAGGTTGTTTTTTTCCATTTAACTTATATTACAATAAAGGAGGTTGTTTTTTTCCATTTAACTTATATTACAATAAAGGAGGTTGTTTTTTCCATTTAACTTATCGTACAATAAAGGAGGTTGTTTTTTTCCATTTAACTTATATTACAATAAAGGAGGTTGTTTTTTCCATTTAACTTATCGTACAATAAAGGAGGTTGTTTTTTTCCATTTAACTTATATTACAATAAAGGAGGTTGTTTTTTTCCATTTAACTTATATTACAATAAAGGAGGTTGTTTTTTCCATTTAACTTATATTACAATAAAGGTGGTTGTTTTTTTCCACTTATATTACAATAAAGGAGGTTGTTTTTTTCCATTTAACTTATATTACAATAAAGGAGGTTGTTTTTTTCCATTTAACTTATATTACAATAAAGGAGGTTGTTTTTTTTTTTCCATTTAACTTATATTACAATAAAGGAGGTTGTTTTTTCCCATTTAACTTATATTACAATAAAGGAGGTTGTTTTTTTTTTCCATTGAACTTATATTACAATAAAGGAGGTTGTTTTTTCCATTTAACTTATATTACAATAAAGGAGGTTGTTTTTTTCCATTTAACTTATATTACAATAAAGGAGGTTTTTTTCCATTTAACTTATATTACAATAAAGGAGGTTGTTTTTTTTCCATTTAACTTATATTACAATAAAGGAGGTTGTTTTTTCCATTTAACTTATATTACAATAAAGGAGGTTGTTTTTTTCCATTTAACTTATATTACAATAAAGGAGGTTGTTTTTTTCCATTTAACTTATATTACAATAAAGGAGGTTGTTTTTTTTCCATTTAACTTATATTACAATAAAGGAGGTTGTTTTTTTTCCATTTAACTTATATTACAATAAAGGAGGTTGTTTTTTCCATTTAACTTATATTACAATAAAGGAGGTTGTTTTTTCCATTTAACTTATATTACAATAAAGGAGGTTGTTTTTTTCCATTTAACTTATATTACAATAAAGGAGGTTGTTTTTTCCATTTAACTTATATTACAACAAAGGAGGTTGTTTTTTTCCATTTAACTTATATTACAATAAAGGAGGTTGTTTTTTTCCATTTAACTTATATTACAATAAAGGAGGTTGTTTTATCCATTTAACTTATATTACAATAAAGGAGGTTGTTTTTTCCATTTAACTTATATTACAATAAAGGAGGTTGTTTTTTCCATTTAACTTATATTACAATAAAGGAGGTTGTTTTTTCCATTTAACTTATATTACAACAAAGGAGGTTGTTTTTTTCCATTTAACTTATATTACAATAAAGGAGGTTGTTTTTTTCCATTTAACTTATATTACAATAAAGGAGGTTGTTTTCGTCTTTAACTTATCTTACATTAGAGGAGTTCTTTTTGTCTTTAACTCTGTTAGATAATGGCACATGTAAAAACAGAAGAGAACAGGTGATGTATGAGAGTGAGGAGGGAATGTTGGAACCTTAGACTAAGTTAGCTGGACTAAACTTATCTTTATTTATTGCTTATGTCTATAACGTTATATATATAGATCAAGAATTAATCTTTTTATTAATGACAAAAAAATCATATTTACTAATATAAAAAAGTTGTTTCAATAGAAAAAAAACCTTGTTAAAGAAACATGGCCCAATATAAATGTGTATTTTTCAGTTATATTTGTTACTGGGGATTCAAATGTATTTGTTTTTTAGTTTTGTTTTTCTAATTATTTTCACAGTGCTTTCATTGCCGCCACCAGATTCCTTCATTGATACATGCCACATAACCACACCTTTCATTATCATCACCGGCCGAGGACTTGGTGTCCTTATATTGTACCTTCCCTCTGCTTAATTGATCTATGAAATATGATACAATATTTTCCTTCCTATTCCTTAGTTGTTCAAGTTTCTAATGTCATTTCCATAGTGTATTTCATTTTTATCCTTATTAGATATGCTATGGAATATCAAGCTATTAAACCAAAAGGCGAACTTGCGTCGATCATAATGCATATACATTAATATAGCGTCACTGTTAAGTTGACAAAATGATATTAAACTTTGAAAATAATAACCAACACTTATTCAGTAATTAACCCGTGTGGGTAACTATTAAAACGCAGTTAGAGCACAGTGCACGTTTAGCTGCACTTTTAAAAATCATGTCATTCATGAAATGGACTTTTTCAAGTAACATTACAAATGTTTTTCAGGGTAGATTCTATCCGTGTTATATTGATGTCAAGGAAGTCGGAAAATCAATTAACAAAAAGGTAAGTTGTTACATTCAATGACGTTTTCCCAACTGCATGAAACCTGTTTGCACAAAATTCTGGAACATGAAAGTTATCAGAAATTTTTAAGTGTTTATCAAATAATTATTAAAAAGGATTCAATATCCAATATTTTAAACGACAGTTTAGAGATAATTCTTCTCTTTATACTGTAATGATTTTACCTCTATTTTTTTTATGTATTTTCATTTATTGTTTTACAAACACGGTATTCATTTGCAATAAGAAATGAAATGAAGTTTCATCGTCATTTTCCCCTTCCCATAGTGAAATTGAAGAAATTAATCTTATTGTCTTTCAGCGCAACACCCCGTATCATATTTTTCGGGGGTTGAGTTTTATTATTGTCCTATTTCGTAATTGATATTTTTTGCACACACACACACACACACACACACCCTCACACACACACACACACACACACACACACACACACACACACACACACACACACACACACATATATATATGCAAGTAAAAAAAAGCAATCATAATCCAACAATGGAAAGATTTACAAGGAGAATAATACCTGGTGTTCCGGAAGGGTAGGCGTCTTCTGCTTCATCGGCGAAGTAGGTTATGTCACGTTCCAAAAGAAGAACATGATAACATGACATCAACAAAACCCAAACGAGCATCAAATCTGACCAACCTCATAAGGAAATAGAATCATGGTGACGACTGTAGAACTTTCTGATTATATTCATCAACTTGCATCTCTAGAAGCATAACAAATACGATGTATGATATATATACATGTGAGACCGCTGGCAAAAACGTCTTAAATCTTCTGGGATAAGATATTTTATATTGTTAATGTTTGGGTTCTTTATGAAAGAATGTGTTGCCCATCAACCGCTTTGGAGATTACTTGCTTAAATACAGATCAATTACCACCGTCTACATGTTACATTGTACTATCGTAAAAAAACTTTTTCGCTAAAGAGACACGTTTAATATTTAACGCAAAAACACTAGTCTTTAATAATGATCTAAACAATTAACAACAACAAAGTTATGAGTTAAAGGTAAAAGTTTATCAAATACTTGTGGAATATCGATGCTAAACAAAGTTGCAAGTTACAGGTTGAACTAAAGTCCCACCATGCTTATAAAATATTGAGGAATATTGATACTAAACAAGTTACAGATTATATGTTAAAGTTATCACCTAACACTTTTATCAAATATTTTGGGTATATTAATACTAAACAAGTTGCAAGCTATAGGTTAAAGTTAACATGATGACGTGTTCCTCGAGGAATATTGATACTAATATGTTACAGATTATAGGTCAAAGTGATCTCCTAACATGATGATGTGATCCTCGGGGAATGTCGACACTAATATGTTACTGGTTATATGTTAAAGTGATCTCCTAACATGATGTCAAATTCTTCCCGGAATATTGATACTTATATGTTACAGGTTATAGGTTAAAGTGATCTGCTAACATGATGTCATATTCCTCGCGGAATATTGATACTTAAATGTTACAGGTTATAGGTTAAAGTGATCTCCTAACATGATTTTCTAATACGTGAATATTATAAATACTCCACAAAATCATTAAATTACTGGCCAATGTCACAAATTAAGCATTACATTTAAATTTCGAATAGAGAGATTGTAATTATATATAACCGTTAATAAATATCCTAAAAGGGGACGACATTGTAAAGATTTACGTTTATGGAGTAGGATCACTACATCAGGAACAAAACCAGACATTTTGATTTAAAAGAAAAGATACATTAAGATTCCCAGTTTAATCATTGTCACATAAATATTTCAAACACATCTTGTCTAAATGTAGTAAAGTGTGTTATGCTATTTACGTGGACTTCTTTGATTTATAGATAGAAATGTGAAAATATTACATCACGCAATCATAAACATCCTCCTTCTTTCTGTGTTAAATGTAGTAATGACATTTTAAAAGACTCAAAAGGCTTAAAAGACCATCCAACGGACTAATTAAATACCCCATTGTAACAGTTGATGATTTACGGTATAGTTGACTATATAGTAACTTTTCATGACGACATCATGATATTGGTGAAAATCCACAGGTTTGAGAAGGCAGGTTCATAACACGGAAATCAAAACAATCACTCATCACGCTCATCATACAATTCAGGTAAAGATAGATTATTTCCAATGCTCGCCAGTATACTCTATAGACTTGGTCAATTATTAGCTTGGTGTTTGAAAACGAGACATCATGATCGGTTAAGCCTTGTTCTTTTGCACGCAGGATATGTAAAATTGTGTGCAGACACTGATTAAGTAATCAGATGCGTTATCTGCAGACTCAATAGCGTACTCGTTGCATCGTTAAAAGGGGTCTCAGCATCGAAAGACAAGATTCTACAGTTTTCATTCTAGATACAGGCTGCCTGATTGATTTGGTTTCTTTTTTAGGGTGAAAACTGTTCCCATTTGTTTTCCTGAATTATGACATAATCATGTGATATTGTTTTCAATGTTTTACTGCTGAAGTTTTTTTTATACGCTAAACTTCAACTTTTGATGATCAGTGAACTTTCATTCTCAAGTACAAACTCAATAAAGTAATATATTTTGTAGGATTCGACGTTTCAAACTCGTGACTGCACTGAAATCAAAATTGTAATTTAGAGATATATTAATAACGATCAATATTTTACTATTGAAGCACTTATGTAAAACAAAATATCAAAATGTTCAGATGCATGTATTTATTTTCTGAATTTTGGAATATGCAAGTGAGAACAGTGGGCAAAGTTAGGAAAGAAACAAAAGCATAACCCTATGAATAATAGAATAGGTAAGTACTTATCTCCAAGGATTTATATATACACACACCATTTACAACACTGGTTTCAGGATTTTTACAGAAACATATAAATTCTCACGGGACGAAAGTAACAATCACTCATCACGGCACGAGGAAACAAAAACCACCATGCATCAACATCACAATGCATCATACTACGTCACGTGACCACACCGTGTGCAAATTCCACCAATGCAAGCTCAGGGCACGTCAATCAACCTGAAACCCACTTACTCATACAAGGTATGATTTTGTGATCTTGAAATATTTCATACAAAATCATTAATGAAGTGTGAAACACAATATTAGTTCTCGTAGTGAACAGTAAATCCATCGAAATTATCAAACGCTTTCATTGTAGAACATTTTGGATTATTAATATGTGAGTACTATGTTTAAGCAAAATTGGAATTCTATTTGCATTTTCCTGTTTACAAAAAGGTTCAATAGGTATTATATATTTATATTTTATTGTATGTGTATATACAAAATAAGATATAAATAACGACAGAAAAAAATTTGCCTTGGGATAACTGACAAACATATAACTAGATGGATCTTTTCCACTTTCTTTATCCAGAGACCTGGTTAATATGTTACAGATGTCCCGAATGGAAATAGTGATCGGTCGGTCGATCGATCATCCACGGTTGCTCTCATGCATTTCCTGTATGTAAACTTTAAGCGATACAAAATTATTTGTGTTTGGTGGCGAAAATTTTTCAGTATACATTTTTTTCCAATACTTAAAAATGTAACACCATTGCTGTAAAAGTAAATGTAGGGCATTTACAATATTGATGTAGCTATTATTTTCCGTATTCGCTAACAGTAATTCTCCATTCTATGGAGACCTGGTCCTGTCATAAAACATTGCAGAAATGAAAATAACTAATGACAGCTGATTTCCAGCAAAGCTTCCGAACGAAAAAAAAAATACTTTGGGTGCGAGCAATTTACCATACTGGAAAGGAGAGACAATTTCCTCTTCTGATAATCGGATAGTGTTTAATTAGGAAGAAGATTAACCGTTAACATTAATTCGAGTCGTCTGTAAAATACTATAAGCTTGCTTTCATTATCTTTCCATGCCAGAGATAAGGGAAGTAACTATTCCATAATTCTAGAGATATTCGAATGCTGCCAAGTTAGAAAATTATATGTGATTTATCATTTTGCCATTGGTGTGCCCCTCTCTGCCCTTAGCGTGGTCTTATGGTGTTGTTACCTGATCAGGTAATGGGATGCTGAATTCTAAGTCTGTAGTAAAATCATCGGATTTTAACTGATAGCAAATGCGTCTTGAAATCAGTATTATCAGTATTTGAATGTAAGATATTAATTAAACTTTAGGTAATTAGTATGGACTTTAGATATTTTGTGTCTTGAAATTTTCATTAAAATGTTTAACATTAGTAGATGTTATCTAAAATGTCATTGAATGAAAAGTAACAGCGGCAAGACAATAGTCATTACATTAAAGGGGTAAAAACTCGCTAATGTCAGTTAAATCAGGGATTGCTGAGGTCACCCAAAGGTCACTCTTGTCAATCTGTATGTGATGCCAGAGAAAAAAATGAACATGATATATTAAGGTATTACAGATATTTCTACAGTTAATGTTCTGAATTTGAAATACTCGGACAAAAAGTCACTTGCAGAAAAATGAAAAATTATCACGATGAGTGAATGTTTTTCATTTTCAGCGTTTTTGATATCATATCTATGAGTAGATAGTATTTGCCTCACGTAAACAATGTTCTAGAGGGCGAATAAAGTTTTAACAGAAAATAATTTTAAAAACTAGATAGATACCAATATCAAACCCGTATAAGGCGAGACTTCTGGCATAATTAAGTTTTCACTCTTTTTGCTGTTTTACCGATAAGGCGACAATAAAATGTGGCATAAAGTTAAATGCCGTCTTATCATGTATTTAGAGGTGAGCTCAAGCAGGGCCGGAAGTGAAAAGTTTAGCGGAGAGGGATAAATAAAATGAAAAATGGATTTAATATTTAGGTCACATCACTTAAGAGTCTAAGTAGGAGGAAACAGCTGTATGATGCAGGTTAATTAATAGTTGCATGGTGTAGATTGATTCATTGTCTCTACTGTGTCTTATCTAAATTTTATTAATTGGTGATATTTACGTCTATGACTTATGTACAACCATCTAATACATTTGTACTTGTTCTGTTCTATATCACAGGTGCTTCCACATTTTTGCTCTGTCAAAAAACATTAAGAAAATACCAACATGGTAACATAATCTAGAGCAAAATGTGAATAAGAAAGATTGACACAGAGACACCTGAACGTAACCCTTGGCCAATCCAAGTAAGTAATGTCACATTCTCAAATGAGAACAGGGTATAAGACAACGGAACCAACTAACGAGCATCAAATATGGCCAGCTTCAATTCATACAAAGAAATAGAATATTTCTCAATGAGATCCCTATGGCGACCATAAAACTTCCCCATAATTTTCATCAATCTGCATCAGTTGAACCCTTGTGTTACGAGTTTGTCTGTCAGTTGACAACTTCTTGCACGAAAATCGTAATAATAGGAACATGCCCTTGAATATCGAATCAACTGTGATATTTAAATATCTTAAGTTGGAAATGCAGGGTTATTGCTGTCCAGAACTGAAAAAAGTTCACAATAGGGAAATTTAAAACATCACGTTTAACATACAGCTTGATGGAAAGCTGTCCATGTCAGTTTCGGTATAGGGGAAAATCGAGATAAGCAGCTGATAGATGTAGAAGAGTCTGTATTGTCTTTGATTTCTAGTTCTGGTGGATATATACGAAGGACGTAGTTAATAAATTTCTTGTTATTTAAAGACAGGACGTCGTCTATGTATCTGATTATGAAATTAAACAACTTTGCAAGGTCTCTGTGACACGTTTTGATAAGCTCTTCAATAAAATTCAGCCTCGTATGAAAACAAAAACAAGTCGGCCAACAGGGGGGAGCAGTTGGTGCCCATAGGTGTGTCAAAAGTCTGTTGGATGTTCTTGCCACCAAACTAGACAAAGCAATTGTCAACCAGAAACTCGATCATGTTTATGATATCGTCTTCCGTATATTGCTTCTTTGATTTCGTCGTAATATTTACGGTAATCACACATCAACTGAACGCCATTTATTCGTTTCAAGTGAATTGTGTGATGCCATTAAGTTTACCATACATTTATGCACAGTTGATGACGAACCGCTCATTGAGTTCAGCGGAGCACATTCCAGTTGTAAAGAAAAACGTTCAATCAGTTGTCCTGTGTGTTGTAGGCTGTCTCAAAGGGTGGGGATGAGTTATGCGGCAAGCCGAGCGTCAACATTAGAAATAGAAGAAAAAATGTTTCTATCATTCCAGGAAAATACAAGTATGTAATAATGGTTCCTATAACGTCATCGTTGCAGGAAGAAAATTGCCAAACATCAGACCTTCGGGATACCAATGAAAATTTGAACTACAGGAAAAAAATCAGAAATTGTAGAACAATTGAAAAATATCGTGCTTAATCACAAAAGAATAGAACTCTTTGATTTTCACCCCCTATTCAAGATCAATGTAGAGGAAGTGATTCTATATGAATTGGTAAACAGATGTCAGTGGTGATTACATTTGTACATCAGAGTAAAACGAGGAGTTTGAATCAATTCATCATTATAGAACAGTTTCACAAACATCATACAAGACATCAGTTTGATTTTTTTATTTGAATAACAAACATACAAAACATATGAAATGAGTCAGACATCATGTTAATTTCACCATGACTTGTAAGTGTAATACACGAGTACAGTAATGATACTATATTATTACTTTATCCTCTCTAGTGATTTAAAATCAGCAAAAAAAAAATGTGACCGCGCTTGTCTAGCATTGTTAAAGATAAAAAAAACCCTCAAATTAACTTTAAGATATCGTTTTACATGTAGATGATTAAAACAACTCTCAAATTTAAATGGATCAATATCTGGGCCAATGCCACTCATGCCAGCTATACAGGAATCAAATTTCAAACTGTTCAGTATTGATATTTGTTTTTACGCTCAACATCGATGGTTACTTTAATAATCAAGAAATGATATAATGAAACAAGTAAACATTTCATCCCATGACACAGGACATAACAATTCTACTGGGTATTTGATAATACATATTAATCTACCCGCTCACTTCCTAAAACACACACACACACACACACACACACACGCACACGCACCTTGTTTTCATTCAAGCCAATTTACTTTTGATACTAGGATTAGCTGCATATATTCTTCGTGATAGTAATGGTGTGAAATGATGATATTCCTTGCAATGATTTGTATTTTATCACATCTGTTGTTCATCAGAATTGAAAAAAGAATATCGATATCATATCCCTTCACAATTACCAATGTTAGTATGCAATTATAGTATCATCATTGCTTGTAATGTAAATCATTTTACTTTTAGAATAGTTTGAATGTTGCAATTCATACCTGTAATTATATTTCAAAATTTGGGTGGAAGGAAAATTAACCGTACCGATTATCAGTAAAATGAGGACGGTTTGAATTGAATAATTTTTTTCGTGATAAATCAAGACAAATAAGTTTATTCAATATGGTGATTTTAAATATCCGTCATTTCATACGTCCTAATGGATTAACCGGATTCCACCCTTTTGTAAATATCTTGTCGTTATGTTGCATGCCGGATTTGACATTTGCACATGCAGACAGAACTAATACCGGTTATCATTTCACAACTAAAACGCGACCATCCAAAACACATCTTAAATAGATACCAAAGTATTGTATTTCCTACAATACTTAGTATCCATGAAGTCAGGGCATATCGGCACGGACTGATGACCACAAAGAAGGTTTTCTATCACAGTCTGTTATATCATATTGCACATGTTGTAGGTTGAAGGCAATTGGTTCACTGAAAATAAATGATAAAAAAATTAATGTAAATTCAATAGTGCAGTTTAATGAGATAATGTAGGGAATAACATATCACGCCTATTAAAGATAAATGTATAAATATTTTGAACGAAGGGGGAGTTTTTTTTTAAATGTTGAGTTTCTAGCTGATGTTAGCTTTACAATTCATGTCAGTTTGATATGGATGTCAAATCATTGATATGATGAAATGTAGTAAATGTTGCGTTCAGCTGTTCATTTGATTGTCCAATGCATTTATAGCGTATTATGATATTTTGCTGTTGAGAGTAATTTGTAATTTATTTGTAATTTTAAATTGTAAATTTGATTGCAATTTGTTTTAGATACTGCTTTCCAAATGTGTCATATCATCTTTCATTCCACAAAAGTGGAATACATCGAAACAACACTTTTATGTTACTATTTATAGAATTTTGATAGGTTGAAAAAATAACCAAAAACGTATGTGGTTTGCGAGTAATTTGAGATCTCTTAAATCTGTGAAAGTTGTCGCTTACGAAAATGAATTACATGTGGGTCATATCTAAATCTAGATCAATCTATATTTGTAAAAGAACAATTGAGTATTTCAGAATTATGACATATTAATATGGTAGAGCTAGGTGACAAGACTTGTGAAATTTGTGTAGCTTATAACTATTGACGTTCATATCGTATGATATATATTTGGTTCAACATTATATACATACGACTGATGATAATAATAATATTTGTAGGAACATTATACTTACGCCATCGAAGTTCCTTAACCTTTGATAATATCTACGCTTTTCATCAGCTACAAAAACGAAAGTAGTAAGTAATTAAATAATGTAGTCTCCTCTGCTTATTTTTAAATTCTTACATACATGACTTCAAATAAGAAAAAGATAATATGTAAATACTATTGGTCTAAATATCGTACTTCTGATAAAACAACACCAGGAATGCTTTATCATCATAAAACAATTATGAGTTTTTGCATATATTTGTGAGATATTTCCAAGTTCATTTAGAATCTTAATATCGGTATTTTCACATAAAGACTTTTTGTTTTGTGCCATCATAATTAAGATGTGGAATATTTAACGTGTACGAACTGTTACACATGAGATCCAAGCATTATGTATCATGATTCCTATGGTACTGACAATGTAATGATGTTATATATTAGTCAATGTTGAAATCAGCTACATACCAGTTCTTCCTACTTTTTTCTTCATGATTTTCTTTTCTTTGATGGGTGGTGGTATCGGCTTTGATGGTCTGGAAAGTATACGTTGTTGTTCCTGTGAAATATCTGGTATAAAAGGTAAGTTGTTCCTCCGTTGTGCAAATGCTCCAAGTTGAATGTCAGATGGCAGTCTTCTTTGCTCAGGAAAACGACTCTGTACTATGGGATTACCTTGTGAACCAACCCATGAAGGGTCTCTTAAAGCACTTCCCCCGACAAATGGAACAGCGGCATCTTCGGTTTCCACAGCAACGAAGTCACTGGTACTGATGCCTGGTTGACGAACTCGTTCTTCGAAAAACGGATCAATATGGGGTCCTTTATGCCCGATACCATGCCCTGATATTGGATCAGTAAGTTTTCCTTTCGTCGGTTTGCCGAATGGAGTGGGATCAATGAACCCTAGGTCACCCGGAGCTGGCATTTTTGGTCCAATATAATCAGCGCCAAGTGGTTTTACCACTTTTGGTTCAACATATGGGGTGTCTACGAGGGATGGACCAAGAGGCTTAGTTGGTACATATGTGGCGTCCAATGGATCAACAAGTTTAGGTTTCACATAACTAGTGTCCAATTTACTATGACGTAAAGGGTCAATCAGCTTGCCTTTGGTTGGGCCACCAAAGGGGCCAGGTTCAACGTACCCTAAGTCCCCAGGACCAGGTATTTTGGGTCCGACATAATCGGTTCCTAGCCGATTATTTAACTTTGGTTTGACATATGCGGTGTCTACAGGTATCTTTGGGTCTACATAACCAATGTCTATTGGACCATGAGGTTTAGTTGGTATATAAGAGGCGTCTAATGGATCAACAAGCTTAGGTTTCACATAACCAGTATCAATCTGAGCATGGTGTAATGGATCAATCAGCTTCCCTTTTGTAGGTCCAAAGAGGCCAGGTTCGATATATCCTAAGTCACCGGGACCTAGTATTTTCGGTTTGATATTTATTGGTTTGGGGGCGACATACCCTGTGTCTACAACTGGTTTATGGACAACTTTTTTGAGTCTGGACTGCCCGAAACCACTATCGATGGGATCAATGTACTGACGATCCTGCACATGAGGTCTATGTCCACCAGTGATGTGTGTTCCCTGGTAAGTCCTGTCAAGCACTCTTCTCCGTGACCCAAACAAGTGGTCACTGGAAGGCATTGCTCCATCACCATAATTGCGATTAGAGAAAACTGTAAAAGAAAAAAAGGTTATTTGAGTAATTTGTGCGAAGTTTATTCAATGTTAGAATAGAAACAAGAGGAATGTGAATACATATGGAAATGCAATACAAAACACTATGATAACGATGACAACAAGAATGCAATATCTGTATAGAGAGACATTCATGTGAAAGCAAAATAGAAAGAAAACAAGAACTTGAGAAACAACGCAAACAGAGAAAACAGTTTGTAGGCAAATACTAACGGAAGGAGTAAACAGTAGCTCTGGAAAAGTAAGGACACCCCCATTCTCCCCCCCTCAAAAAATCACCCGTGATATATTTTTGCTACTATCACATAAAAACCTACCTACAGATTTTATTACACGTCGCTATCGGGTCCATACTTACACACACAGGAGGATTGCAAATGTTGTGTGTGAAAAAGGTACATTTTCTGTCATATTTGCCAAAATATTCATCATGCATCAGAGAGGATATGAAATTTATTTCCATTGTGATATCGAAAACTCCTCACATTTTTAGATTAAAATTCAATGGCATCAACCATTTATTGTGTTATTACGAACGATTAAAAAATTAGAAGAAGACATCACTACCAACTTACTTGCCGATAAGTCAGTTACAAAAAAGATGCATATCGTTACCTAGGTAATGAACAGCATCTTAATTCAAATACTAATTCAGCTTATCAAGTATCAAAATTAAAAAAAAAGTAATATTTGCCAACTTTACCAAATGCGTCGTCAAAATTATCGATTCAAACGAGCGAGGTTTATTGCTTTGGAAATGGTGAGGCAAAGGTTTTACCCTTAAATTAGGTAATATCTGAAGAACTAAACTTACAGTCCTGAGCCACAACAGCAGTGATGACAGCCAGAATTACACTGGTCCACAGCATACTGCAGATTTAGGTAGCCTGAAATTTTAATCACAACACTGTATATGTTGTTCATAATTAAATATTGCGTAGAGCTAAAATTGATCTTGCAAACAACGTTTTTAATTCTCGGATTCAAAAGTACATGTAGTCATGGGAAAATGGACTATTCAATTATGTGGTTAAGCGAGGCGTTGAAAATAAAGATATATAAGTGTAGGGTTTGGAGTCTTTGTTGTTTGAAAGTAAAAGCTTAGTTGACACATTTGTGGTACATGTAGGAGAGGTTGAATTTTATAACATACAGAAACACATATAGCCTAGATTTTATACACATCAAAACATGGTGTTAGGTGTAATATATATGTATACTAATATGATTAAACGTGATACAATCTTTGAATAACAATAAAACATTGATGACGAATTATCCTTATTAAACATTACAAAAATCAGCAAATAAAATTGATGAAAATGGATACCAATCGGTCCTCTTTGTATTCGTTAATTAAGCAATGTAAGACACATTCTGTTTATAACTTTGATGATATATAACATATTGGACCTAGTTATTGGACATTAAATCAACAAACAAAGTTATATTAATTATTTCAAGCAAAAAAAGTGAGAGAAAATACATCCTGGATGTAATATTAAGAAATGTTCTTACCTGATTGTGGTCTAAGAAGGCTTGTCCGGATAATTGCTCTCCGATGGAGATAGGCAAACCTATATATCTGACGATGGGGAAATACCAGCTAGATGTTACCTTTGTCGTCATACCACAGAAAATAAGTGTCGAGACAGGTGATCCATCTTACCTGTAGACGTCATCAATTTGAAGCCGAGTGACAATGCCGTCCCATATATCCCCATACGCATCAAATGAGTCACTAACTACGACATTGATATTCATAATATCACAATAGAATTAATTACTTATCATCAATTACTTCACAATAAAATGATGTTACTTGATGATATTTAGTTGGTAAAGTTATCCCCATCACTATTTTGGAATATCAAATGATGTTTATGTGCCAGTTTCAACAATGATTAATACATGTCAGTTTCAATTATTTTGTTTTGGATGTAACATTCCAGATTCATGAATGGAAATCAAAAGGAAATCAAATAAGCTATTGTCATATGTAATAAAAATTGCAATTTATATATTTCTTTCAAATAACGTATCAAAGGATGCATTTTCTTTTTCTAAAACAAAATCTTATTTCAAGTATTTCCTTCATGTTATGTTTAAATGATATTTGTTCAAATGAAAATTCTCTCCTATTGAATAAGGCATCTTATGTATATATATATATATATTATTTTATTAAGGTCTTAAAATTTCTAGGTTGAGGTTTATAAAAAATTGTTTTCAGCGATTTTTTTTTGTCATATGATGACTTCAGCTTAGCATTAAAACGTATATTATTCTATAACAAACTCTTACGAATCTGAAAAACTCTTTTCCGGGTTTAGAGGTGCCACACAGATTTCATTAATCCGTAGAAATGTCCTGTTATATCATGTGGTTTGCCACAGACAATGATAAACTAACCAGAGTTAATCACATCTGTGTTCATGATATATCTGTTGTGGTGTTGGCTTGGTAAAAACAAATGTCATCACGCTTCCTGGGATTTATGATATAATTATGTGCATTTTGAGACACTATATATATATATATATACATATATATATTATTCATATATATATCTTGAATCACCATCTTTCATACCACGACTTAAGATGGCGTTTGGTCCCTTATAAAGGGTCTTCGGCGTCCATCGGCCGAAAGAATTATTTACACTACCATTCTCGATTTTAGATTTAAACTTTAATTTTTCATGTTCTGTGGTTATGATGTAATTTAAAAGAGGCAGAATGCCTCGAAAATTTGACAATTCTCTTGTCAGTACGGCCATTATCACTTCATTGACCATATATCTATCCCAGTAATACGCATCCAACCAACATTTGTTTGGTTCAATAACCAATATTGGACCATACAGTCGATATTAGATTCCATGTAATATATATTAACTATTTGGAAAACACAACAGTAACATTGTGTTATAAAATCGTTATAGTTAATTTAGTTAGAAGTTATAGATGAAACTGAGGAAACGATAAGCACATGACAAAAACAAAACATCGATTAAGCAAAATGTTCGTACGAAAAGTATGAATAGTGATACGAGAACAGGATATATTGTATGAACGATGTATTAGGTGATCAGCATCCTTTACTTCATTTTCAACATCCGCTAGGCTAATTCAGGTAAAACCAAGAAAGTGATGTCACGTTCAAGCATCTGTGTATCGTACAAAAGATAAATGTGAAACAGGTTTTTTCCAAATTATTTCAATCACTCATGCTGGCTCGGATGGAGGAGTGTGAGGGATCTTACTGTGTAAGGAAACCGAATTACTCGGAGAGAATCCATGCGGTCGGGCAGGTGATCCCATACCTTTTCACGTCCAGTCCGGTAATCGAACCCAGGACGGCGAGGGGAAAGGCGAGTGCGTTACTACTGCGCCACCCGACCACCCATGTGTTTATTAAAAAGGAGCAGAAAGAGATTAACACTTGGTCATTTTATTTCGTTTATAGTCAAACCATTACAGGATATGGATATTTGTAAATGTTTAGCAATAAGAAAACAACTAAATTTCAATAATGTTTTAACCAAAAGTCATCTCTTAAATAAACATCAGTATGAATAACATGTAAAGGGAGGCAATTAGAGGATCATCAACATACAGAGATGTACAAATCTTCATTACAAATAAAGTACTCTAAAATAATGCAACTATAACGTAGGTAGTAAAATGAGACAAAGATATCATTCAATTTAAGCAATGCTTTACAATTTATTCAGTATATTGATAATACATTTGAAATAATATAATAAAATAATTTACACTTCCACATATCTACTCATACCATCTATCCACCCATCCATCCATCCATCCATCCATCCATCTACCCATCCATACATACATACATACATACATACATACATACATACATACATACACACACACACACACACACACACACACACACACACACACACACACACACACACACACACACACACACACACACACACACACACACACACACACACACACACACACACACACACACACACACACACACACACACACACACACGCATGCATGCATGCATGCATACATACATACAAGGAGCTGCATTTTACAAAAATGTCTCTGATTGTTGCTAAAATGAATAAATGGAATCATAAAAGATTTCTTGAAAATGCCAAGCAAGGTCAGCATGCACTATTTTAATAATTAAAAGTAACGTATCAAGTTTTCTATTTTCAGATTCTTGCACAACTCCTAGTTAAAAAAGAAAGATATGTACCTTCAATTTCGGAAACTGAGGCAGGAAAAGATTTTTAAAAGGACGGATTCTAAAAGGAATGCAGTTTTGTTTTACTCTTTCTCCGTTACATATTCTGTGTCCGTCGAAGTACTGACAACATAAGTCCCCGAACGTACCCGATACCTTCTGATGAAATCGGTATACCAAACCTCCGGCTGGATGACCTCACTGTAAGGTAGATTTAGTAGAGCGTTCAATACAGTAATATAGGTATGATCAATGGAAAACGCTTCTGGTGACATTGTGAAAATGTGACGATAAAATCTCGGAAATAATGTGTTTTGAAAAAAATAAGCAAATATCCAAGTAGTTGTGTTTTCAGTTGATATTGCTTCTAAATCATATTTCAAGACATTATATAAAATGTTAGAATAACATGTTTTAATGACATATTACTGAAGTCACATGCATAAGTAATATAATTAGAAACATTGTAAAAAGTTGTGTTTCCTTTATCAAACAGATCCAATAGTTCATTGCCCATTAATCTTATCTCCTTATCTCACTATTAGGTTATCCTACAACGAATGGTAAACATGTTTATATCAGATATATATACTATAATTATTTAGATAGAGATGTTCGGGGTGAACAAGACGGCTTGCTGATTTATTCTTTATACACATTGTTGAAATGTCAATTCTTATGATGTTATGAAATATGTTAATTACTCCTTATGTACTTGACCAAAGATTGAAAAATTGTTTCTTAAACATAGGTTACATTTAAACAATACCTGATGTATCAGTTGTGTTCTGAATAAATGATGGGGCTGATTCCAGAATGCTTTGATGTTGACTTATTTTATTGGCTGATGGGTTTTTGATGTCATCCTCAAGTGGAGATCGTGGTACATACATTGTTACAACGGGGATTGTTGTTGCAGTCAATGTTTTTGCGGGAGGACGTTCAGTTGTGGAAGATTTTTGTCTGATATCAGTACGACCAACATTTTGAATGAAGTTCCCTTTGGATTGATGTCGGGTAGCGTCACTTTGTACAGGAAAGTAATCATCAATGTTACCAACCCTGTCATTCCTTATCCGATCTTCTATACTGTAATATCTAGGTATAGATTGTGTATGGGTATCGCCAAGCAGGTATATATCTTTGTGACCGGGATGGCCGACTGGACCGCTGTTGCTTTTCTGAAATGTTTTGTATCTTCCTGTCTGAAATCCTTTTTTATTGTTTTGATTTTCAATCTTTGTTGTTTGCATTATTTCTCTTTGAAGTGTTACTTCTTTTTGACCGCCATCGAAGTTAGACCTGTCAGTTTGTTTATTGATGTGCTTCTCTGTGGTTACAGGCACATCATAATAAAAATAATGTTCATCTCCATGAGTCAGGTAGTCGAAGTAAGTGTCGAATAGTGTATCATACGGTGCAGCATATAATACATCCTGGTCATGAGGGGTAAAAACTGAATGTCCGGTCGCTTCCTGATACCAGAGACACATGCAAAGGAACTCAAACAACATATCTCTTGGTTTACGAAAAATGTTTCGAATATGTCTGAAACTGAAAAGCAGATTCTTTCAACATTCAAATATCTAATACACAATAGATATACAATAAAGTTAATATGAAAGTTAAAGCG